GCTGGCCCTATCTGTAAGTCTAGCCAGCATCCTGGATCTTGCCACTGCACACTGCTGGGATTGTGCATTTGGCCCACTGGGCTGTGTTGTGACAACAGACTGATGACCTGTCTCTCAAATTGGATAATAAATTTTTTGCCAGCAGACACCTATCTTTAACTTCTTAAAAATTCTATTTGAGCCTAAACTGGTTTTCTCTCATTGATGTTTTTAACTCTCTATAATTGGATCTTCCTCTCTGTAAAAAATCAATAAAATATATTTTTTTAAAAAAATTCTATTTGAGGCCCAATCCTGCTCAAGAGCACTGCATCCGTCTGCCAGGGTTGCCATTACAAGTACCACAGACTGGGGGCTGAAACAGCAGAACTGTATTTTCCCACAGTTCTGGAGGCAGGAGGCAGAAATCAAGACGTTGGAGGGGTTCGTTCCTTCTGAGGGCTGTGAGGGAAGGAGCTGTTCCTGGCCTCTCCCCTCGGTTTATAGACATTTATGTGTGTTTGTGTCCAAACTGCCTCTTCTTAAAAGGACACCAGTCACACTGCATTAGGGCCCACACCAATGGCCTCATCCTAACTCAATTAGAATTTAAAGGCCCAATCTCCAAATACAGTCACATTCTGAGATACTGGGGATTAGGACTTCAACACGTGCCTTTTAAGGGGACACACTTCAGACACCCAGGAGTAAATGAGAAGGGTGGGTGGGGGGACATGCCGCAGGCAGAGGGATCATGGCTTGACTTCCACCCTCTCAAGGCTGGTCCGCACCAGAGCCCCTCAGAGCCCCCTCAGGCCACTGCACAGCCACCAGCCAGGCCTCTGAGGGGGCTTGGGGGCCTGCCCCTCCTCTCTGGGCCCTCGGGCAATCCCACACTGGCCCTGAGTCCTCTCCTAGCAGCTGGCAGGCCAAACCTAAGCGTCAGGAGAGACTAGGGAGGGCCCTGGAGATGGAGGTGTCCTAAGGGCTGGGCAGCCCTAGGGGGTGTGTATATGGTGTGGGGAGGGCTGAAGCACCCCTTTGTTTTAGGGATGGATGTGGGAGGGGTGGTCTCTCAGTACAATTGCCTTCCCACTGTGGAGTGGGCGTTTGGGTGGCCCCAGGAATCCTATTTGCATGCAGAGCACAGGCTTCTGGGAGGTTAGAAAGAAGGAATTTATTTTAACTTGCAAATTAGTTCTAATACTTAAAGTAATACTTACTCATTGTTGAAAGAAAAAATTTGCCCGTGATTCACCACAACTAGAAATCTCTGACTCTGGCTATTCACTTGTTATTTAATGGTATCATGTGCTTTTACCTTTTAGGATCTTCTCTTAATGCAAGCAATAAGTGTAATTGTAAAATAATTAATTAGAAAATGCAATTTGCCAAAGAAAACAATTTTAAGTCACTTATAATACCACTACCTAAAGATAGTTTATTTTTTAATCATATCTTTCTCTTTTTTTAAATATATTTTATTTTTTACAGAGAGGAAGGGAGAGGGATAGAGAGTCAGAAATATCGATGAAAGAGAAACATTGATCAGCTGCCTCCTGCACACCCCGCACTGGGGATGTGCCCGCAACCAAGGTACATGCCCTTGACCAGAATCGAACCCGGGACCCTTCAGTCCACAGGCCAACGCTCTATCCACTGAGCCAAACCAGGTAGGGCTAATCATATATTTCTTTGACTACTATTAATATATTTGAATATTTTCCTTTGTTTATTTGTTATTTAGATTTCTTGGATGAATGGTCTGTTCTCATCTTTTGCATATTGTGTTACTGGGTATCTAATGGTGTCTGGTCCATCTACTTGGAATATATATATATATATATACACACACACACACACACACATATATATCCTATATATAATAAAATGGTGATATGCTAATTGACCCTCACGCCATCACAAAGATGGCGGTACCCACAGCCAATAAGGAGGGAATATGCTAATTGACTGCCCCACCCTCAAAGATGGCTGTGCCCACAGCCACAAGATGGCGGTGTCCAGTCCCCTCAGCCCCTCCGGGTCCTATATAATAAAAGGGGAATATGCAAATTAACCTTAATAGTAAAACGACCAGAACGACCACTCAACCAATCACTATGTGGCACACTGACCACCTCTTGGTCCCTTTCTCTGGCCAGCAGGCTCCCATCGCCCCACCAGTCACCCCACACACAGAGGGTGACCCGTGGTGGGGGCGGGGCCAGTGAGCTGACCTCTCGGTCCCTCTCCCCCGCAGTCAGGCTCCAATCACCTGATGGCAAACGGGAAACCGGGGGTGGGTGGCAGTGGGGCTGGGGCTGGCTGCTGGCAGGTGGGGAAGATGGCCCTGATCACAGGCCAGGCCTAGGGATCGTACCCGCGTGCGAATTCATGCACCGGGCCTCTAGTATATAATAAAAGGCTAATATGCAAATAGACCGAACAGTGGAACAACCAGAACAACCAAACAACTGGTCGCTATAATGTGCGCAGACCACAGGGGGCATGTGCCGAACATGGTGGGCATTGGCCACAGTGGGATGGTGGGGCAGGTGAGCGGTGGCGCCAGACCAAGGCAGGGCACCGGTCACCGTCATTGAGGCAAGCCTCTGGTGGTTACTGAAAATTCTTTGCTCCCATGCGCCGCAGTCCCACCTGGCGTTCACACGTGCTGCCAGCACCAGAGCCACTGCTCACACCCACTGCCAGCGCAGGCCCTGGTCGTACCTGCTACTGGTGCGGGCCCCAGTCACTCCACACCGTCAGCAGGGCCAGCTTGGGAGCAGGGCTGCCTACAGACAGGGGCCCAGGGGCCCTGGCGGGAGGGGCTGGGCAGGGCATGGAGGATGGGCCAAGACCCACCCTATGCCAAGACACCACCACAGCCTAGTGGCCCACAGTTCTTTTCAAGGTGCATGTATTTGTGCACTGGCCCCTCTAGTATATATACAGTGTTAACTCAGTCATATTTGTAGCAAATATATTTTTCCCAGTTTGTGGTTTGCTCTTAAAATTTTTAGAGCATTTTTTTTATCTCTGACTATTTTCCCCTTCAGAATTTTTTTACTGGCTTTAATGCTTAGAAAGTACTTCTCCTTCACAAAATAAAATATTTTTTTTTAGTTTGCCTTTAATCCTCTCTGTATTTACTTCTTTAAAAACTGAAAGTGAAAGTTAGAAACTAACTTAGTGTTTTTCCAAATACTTAACCAATTGTCCCAGCACCATTTTGTAACTCAGCCCTCCACTATCTCTGTATCTGTGTCCCCAAAGACAGTCGTCTGCTCCAAGCCACTGTCTAGGAGAAATACACACACACACACACACACACACACACACACACACACACACACACACAAAACCTTGTAGTCCCCTAGCTGCCAGCACTCACACAAAAAGCACTAGCAAACAAGGTATGATTTCTGATGTTGTGGAGAAGGTGATGGGTGTACCCTGGAGACCTCAACACAAACAACTTAAACATTCCCTCTAGATATTTCTATTCTCCCCAAGCCTCACCTGCTGCATCCCCAGGGAAGCCTGACCCTCCCTCTCAGCACAGCTGCCTTGCTGCTCCCCTCTAACTCGGCCTTCATTTCCCAGAACCCTCGCCCCCTCTCCTGCAGAACAATTGGGCTGTAGGCGCCTGGCCCAAACCCAGCTCTTTCCAAACAAAGGCCCTCCGGCTAATGGCATCCACCTCCTTAGAAAGCTGGGTAGCAACTTCCTTTGTCACTTGAGAATGCCTTTGGGGTCTCAGCTCCACCCCCTGGGGCTGATTATCCTGTTTCTTCCTAACAAACCCAGTGATGTTCTAGGTGGAATTCCCATACCATCTGCTAATGGCGCCCAGGTTACTCTATCTCCTTGTGCCTTGAACATGCAGGAAGTGGAGTTCTGGGAAGATGGAGAACCTGGAGACCCTCTTACAGAGCTGATATGCAGAGAGGCTGCCCTGGGAGCCCAGAGCTGGGATGGAGCATCCTGAGGAGCAGCCGGCCAAAGACTGGGGAGCCCAGGGGCCAATTGACTAGATTGGTTTATAGCTCTCTGCTCATTAATGTAGTCTCTGGGGGAGAAATGACAATCTTTGCTGCTTCAAATGGTGAGCCCTGTAGTGCTTAGTCTGTGGAGGTGGCTTCAGCTGCTTTAGCTGAGCGCCAGTGCCAAGGAGGAATCCAAGGAAGGGGGTGGGAGGGACTCTGTGGGGTGATTTCTGGACCAGTGTGGACAGAGGTCCTGGGAGGGGAGGTCTGAAGCCAAGGCAGGAGAGAGGTGACAGGAGAGCAAGGGCCCTAGTGGCCAGAGGAGCCAGGGTGTTCAGGGGAGATAGGATGGTGGTGAATCTACTACTAGGTTCCCTGGATGACTTTTAGACTAGGGACTAGGGATGTTATCACTTAAGCTGCCTGTGACTGCTAGTAACAAGAAGCCCTGGCTCAACTTGCTAAAGCCATTTGGACCCAAATCTCCTGCCCTCACAGGAAGTCTGGGGGCTGGGGGCTGGGGGCTGCAGGTGCATTTTGATTAAGGCTTTGCCCTACTTTTCTGCAATCCCCCTGGCTCCACCATCCTCTATGTGGGGCTTTTTCTCAGGCCAGGTCCCTTGTGGTCACAAGAAGCCCAACAAGATGTGACTGTGTTACAGGAGCAGAGGAGGACTACATCTTCTTGGGAAGGTGCTGGGAGTGGTCCCTTATATCATTTATTATAAGTGAACAACTGCATCCCATTCTCTTTCATCAGAGTCACAGCCATCATGATTCCTTGTGGCACCTGCACCTGCATACACACCTCCACCTTTTTCTAATGTATTTGTTTTTCTCTCCTTATGCACTGGCAGACTTGACTATAAACAGTCCTGGGGACTAAGCCTACTAAACACAGCTACCCTGGCTCTGCTGGTGCCTGTGACATCGTTGAATGCCCTCAGCCCCCTGTGACCTCACCACCTGGACAACTCAGCCCAGCAGGGCCATCACTACTCCCTCAAGCAGCACAAGTAACAGAAGGTCTAGATGACCACTGTCCCCTGGGGAGAGGCCGGCATCCCCACGCACAGTGACAGCAGGTCTTCAGACAGCCCTGCAGTGGGATCCCAAAGTCAGGTCTCCCTCCCTGCAGATGGCCCAGCGGCTAGCGGTGCAGCGTCCACTGAACAGCAGGATGTAGATCCTGCCTCCATCAAGTCAGCCGCCTCCAAGGCCACAGCAGCATCTGGGGAGGAGAACCAGCATGAAGATGAAGCTGATGCAGGGCATAGTCAGGAGCCCAAGGAGGCCATGACCCAGCTGGCCCACCCGGCCCCAGATGCCCGGCAAACATCCTTGAGTCTCCAGAACCTAGTGTGGGCTGGGCCGGTTCGAGATTCAAGGAAGACCCAGAGTCTTAGGATTTCCCACACTGGCTCCCTGGTTAAGGAAGAGACACCACAAACAGCGGGTGTCCCAGACAGGGAGCAAGACCTAGACCCATCTACCCCAAGTGCTGAAGCACAGTTCCCCCAAAATGTGCCTGCTGTGGGCACTACAGATGCAGACAGTCAGCTTTGACACCATCGAAGCTGTTGAGAAATCTGAGGGTCCAGAAGCCGTGAACCCTGACACTGAAGCTTTGCCATCGGCTGAGTCCCAGGCAGTGACCGAGGGGGATTTGATAGACTGCTCGAGAAACCTGCAGGCTCCACCGGTCCCTCCCTCCCCAGGAAGCAGTGCGACCTGCTTGCCTGGTGCTCCCACGGTGGCCCTGGGGAGAAGGCATCTGGACTCCAGTCTGTACATAGCCTGCGAGGAGAACGCCTACGTGCGCTCCATGACCAGCTTGCTGGGAGCGGGCGAGGGGTCCATCAGCTGCCTGGCAGACGTCCTGGTCTGGTCTGAGGCCACCATGAGCATGGCCACGGGCCTCCTGGCCTCGGGACACATCTCCGTGACATACGTGCTGCACAGCCCAGGGCCCAGTCTGCGCTTGGTCTCCAGCATCCTGGGGGACGCCAGGTTGGCCTTCTCCTCCGGGCTGGTCCTTCGCTCTGTCAACCGCATGCTGGAGAGGATGGAGCAGAGGACTGTAGAAGGCATCCGCTCAGCCATTTTTTACATGACCAGCCAACTCACCCACTCTGGCCCCAACGCTGACTAGACCCTGCACAGCAAGCCCCCAAAGGACTAGCTCAGCAGCCCCCTGAGACCCTGGACACTCATGCCCTGCCCCCTTGCCCCTGCCAGCCTGGGATGGCTCTCCCCAGACCAAGCAATAAATCCCCAGCAGCATTTATTTTCCAAGTGCCAGCCTTATCCCTGGTTTCTGCGGTGGGCACAGGGTGGAGGGGCAGGAGAGGGCTAGGGTGTTCTAGAAACAGAAAGGGGTCCCCTGGGGGCTTCTCAGGTGGTCCCATTCAGGGGCTGGAGCCAAAGTACAGAAATGAAAGAGCCTGGGCAGCGGTGGGGGCCAGGCGTAGAGGTCTCAGACCTGCAAAAATTGATCCTGGTGGGACATCCAATCAGGTAGGTGTGCTCCTGAGGAAGTGACCTGACCCTTCCCAGGCCTCCTGGCCCAGCAGACAGGGGCTCTCTGAGAGGGTTCGAGGACACGGAGCCAGACCAATGTGAGTTGAAACCCCAGCGCCACTGCTGGCCCTGGGCCCGTCACTTCACCCTCTGAACCTCCGACGGTCCTCTGAGAATGGATAATGAAGCCACACCATGAAGATGTTATGAGACATAAGGGAAACCATGCAGGTCCTAGCACATGGGGCTTGGCACTTGATGAGCTCGAACATTTCAGCTGTCACTATCATTAGCCTCTAGCGCAGTGGTTCTCAACCTGTGGGTCACAACCTCTTTGGGGGTCGAATGACCCTTTCACAGGGGTCGTCTAAGACCATCCTGCATATCAGATATTTACATTACGATTCATAACAGTAGCAACATTACAGTTATGAAGTAGCAACGAAAATAATTTTATGGTTGGGGGTCACCACAACATGAGGAATTGTATTAAAGGGTCGTGGCATTAGGAAGGTTGAGAACCACTGTTCTAGAGGGTCAGGGTGGGAACAGGGATATAGATAGGGTGACCAGCCATCCCAGTTTGTCTGGGACTAAAAGGTTCCCGGGATGTGAGACTTTCAGGTTTAAAACCAGGAAACCCCCAGGCAAACCAAGACAAGTGGGTCATCCTAGACCAGGCCTTTATACGTGGTTTTTACTTTTGACTGTGACTCTGTCCACCTTGGAAGGGCAGCCGCCTGCTTTGGAAATCCACCAGCCCTCTGGCTGGATACAGTATCACACTGGTCACGTGACTTGGTGAGTGAAGCTCCTACTGGACATCAGCCCACTCCTGCCCTTGGCCCAGTGCCTTACGCAGGTCACACCCGCACACCTTCATGCTGCAGCCCTGGACGTGGAGTCATTCACTCCTCACTTCTAGCAGCGTCTCCAAATGCGTTTGCCCTACACAGTGTCTCTTAAATTGTGAATTAATTGCTAACATTTAAAAACCCAGAATGCTTATGTAAGCATATAAATTTCTGCTTCTCTTAAAAAACCTAGGAATTAATTGCTAACATTTAAAAACCCAGAATGCTTATATAAGCATATAAATTTCTCTTAAAAAACCTAAGGGCCTTATTACTTCAGAGCAACTGGCAGTTGAGCTGCCTGCTTTAAGAGAGACCTACCTGGCCTGCATCCGTGACTGATGTCACCTGCTGGGCCCCCAGAGGCGCATATTTGCCACCCCTACCCTGCAGATGGCTCGTGAGGAAATCTAATACCAAGCCCCAAGGGGAGGGGTGCAAAGGTGAACCAGGTGTGTCTACCTTTTTCCTCGAGCAGCTGCCACTCTCTGTAGGTGAGCCGTGAACTGTTTCCATGTAGTGAAAGCAAAGGTTCAGAGGAAGGAGGTTGTCAATTCATCTCCCAGTGATCAAGGCCCCGCAGAGAAGTAATTGAATTAGACCTAAAAAGAGAGGAGAGGTCACAGGAAGGAAAGCTAATGCGGATGTGATGGGTACTTGGTGGGGGAGGGTAGTTCAGCAGCTCAACCTGGGCTGGGCCTAGAGCAGAGAATGGGTGATAAAGCTGCCAGGGTAGACCCCAAAGGCTATCAATAAAAAATGTTGAACCAGGTAAATGCCACTATGTGCCAGCTACTACAAGACACTGGAACTTCAAAGGTAACCAACAGTTCAGAAGGGACAGAAACCAACCCTGACTGGGTGAAGGGATTAGCTGACTGGCACAACCGCCAAGTGTGGGTGTGGCTGGGCCCAGGGTTCAGCCTTGTCCTCAGGGTTCTATCCTTCCAGCTCAAACCCCCCTCCCCCAATCTGTGCTGGCTTCATTCTCAGGTGGCTCAGCCACCTTCTTGGAAAGAGAGAGGCTCTTGTTCCCAGGCTCTGGCAGGAGAGTCCTGGGGGAGGGTACCACAGGGCCTGGCTTGGCTCCCATGCTCTCTCCTGAACCAGTCACTGAGGCCATAGGAACAGGATACCTGGCCTGGGCCTCACACCTACCTCTGGAGCCAGGGTCAGCCAAGAATTGGGGGAATCCCCACAGGACATGTGTTAAAGCTGGCAGAGTTGTAAAGAGTATGGCCTTGCGGCCCAGGCCACCTTGAATCCTGGCTCTACCTTGTGCTAGCTGTGTAACTTTTATCCCCTTGTGCCTCAGTTTCCTCATCTGTGAAGTGACAAGATAGCACCTAGTGCATTGGGCTGTTGTGAGGATTACACAAGTTAATGAGTCAAGTGCTTGGAGCAGTGCCTGGCACGTAATTGAGTGCTATGTGTTAGTGAGCATTGTCATTTTTGTGGCAGAGGGTTCTATGGAGCTACGTGCCAAGGGCTGACTTTCCTGCTTGCTTCCAGCCTTCCTCTTTGCTTCGGGATAAACAGCTGTGTTGGCAAATCCGCTTGGCAACACATCTTCTCTGCAGGTGGGACCCCCCGGGCATCTGGGTACCAGTGCACTTGGGGAGAAGGTCAGGGCTGCACACTCAGAGGAGTCCAACACAGAGAGAAGTGGGCACACCCCAGTTCTGGAAAGGTGGCCTGAGCGAGAAAAGAAAGGCCGGAAGACATGAGCTTGGGGAAAGGCCCCTCTCCGGGCAAGAGGGAGCAGTTCATAGACACAGGAGCAGTCAGCAAGCAGGAGTGATCAGCTCATCGCAGGCATATGGACCACCTTGGCAGATGGATAAAAATTGAAGAAGGGGAGCACTATTGAGGAGAGGCAGTGCGTAGGCACAGACAGTGGTATTTAAGGGGGAAAACAGCCCAGCTGGCGTGGCTCAGTGGTTGAGTGTTGACCTATGAACCAGGAGGTCACGGTTCAATTCTCAGTTAGAGCACATGCCTGGGTTGTGGACCTGATCCCCAGTGTGGGGCATACAGGAGGCAGCCGATCAATGATTCTCTCTCATCATTGATGCTTCTATCTCTCTCTCCCTCTCCCTTCCTCTCTGAAATCAATAAACATATATTTAAAAAGAAAAAATATAGGGGGAAAACAATGAGCAGTCAGAATAACAGGGTGGCTGTATGTAGGGTACTCTTTCGTGTTGAGAACTGAGGCATGACAAATTTACAAATTCACCCCAACAAAGCTGGCACCTTCTCCCTTCTTCTCTGTACAATAGGGTTCCCACCTGACAACCACCCATATTTCTCTAGGAGAGACAACCATCTTTCTGGGCAGGTCTTCTGCCACTGAGAGATTGGCCAGTAAGCAGAGGATCTGCTTAAAGAAACATTTAGGCTGGGCCAAGAGCCAGCAGGGCAGGCACAGTAGCCTAACATCTGAGCCCAGCAGGGGCTTGGCTAAGGGAAGGCACCAACAAGTCCTGGCAGATGGCAGCACGGACACTGTGGCCTCCACCCCAGGGTGGATTGTCCCCTTCATTGAAGGACTTGTTCCCCGAGCTGCTATGAGCACTACCAGTGGACAGTTTTCAGTGCCACCTGGCCCAAGGTCATGCCCTCCTGGGTGGTCCGATCCAGTGACTGGTCTGTGCAGGAGTGTAAGGCCCGACTGTCCTGGGCCAGCTTGGAACAACTCCAGCTCCAGCTCTAGAGCTCCTGGGGAGCTGATGGGAGTGATGTGGGGTCTGCATGGCAGTCTCCCTCCCCCTCCACACACTCCGGCTTCCTTCTGGCTGAGAGCCTGTGTTCAGGAAAGACCAACCTGTGACTAGAGACTGTTATTTTCCACCATCTGAGATGTGTATTGAGGAGTGGGATCCACAAATTCAAATGATGTTTAAAGTTCGAGAATTTTGCCCTGGCCAGGTAGTTTAGTTGGTTAGAGCATCATCCCAGGGACCAGAACGGTTTCAGGTTCAATTCCCAGTCAGGGCACATACTAGGTTTTAGGTTTGATTCCTGGTCGGGGCATGTATGCCTGGCCAGGTAGTTTAGTTGGTTAGAGCATCATCCCAAAGACCAAAATAGTTTCAGGTTCAATTCCCAGTCAAGGCACATACTAGGTTTCAGGTTTGATTCCTGGTCGGGGCACGTATGGAAGGCAACTGATGGATGTTTCTTTCTCACATCGATGTTTCTCTCTCTCTTGCCCTACCTTCCTCTCTCTAACACATATGAAGATTAAATGAGGATTTTAATGAGGATTAAAAAAAAAAAAAGTTTGGCCCCACTAGTGTGGCTCAGTGGTTGAGCATCAACCGATGAACCAGGAGGTCACAGTTTGATTCCCAGTCAGGGCACATGCCCAGGTTGCAGGCTCAACCTCTGGTTGGGGGCTGTGCAGGAGACAGTTGATCTATGAGTCTCTCTCATCATTGATGTTTCTCTCTTTCCCTCTCCCTTTCTCTCTGAAATCAATGGGGAAAAAAATTTAAGTTGGAAGATTATTTTTAAAAAAGAATCTCTGAAACTATTTTTGTAAGAATAGTTAGAAATTTGAGGCCACTTTGACTATTGTAAAAAAAAATAAAAATAAATCTGTCAGTGTTTTTACTTGTTTTGTAAGGACAATAGTCTTATTTAGTCTATGGCCACTAAGCTATTTCTCTCTGAAATCAACGAAAAAAAAAAATTAAGTTGGAAGATTATTTTTAAAAAAGAATCTCTGAAACTATTTTTGTAAGAATAGCTAGAAATTTGAGGCCACTTTGAC